ATAACATGGTTAAAATGTTGTTGAGTCAGTGCACAGTGCAAGTATGTTTTTATTCGATTGATAACATTGACCAGCAGGTGAACTTTGCTCAAAACTATTGTTGATCTTTTGCTTTTTCTTTTGAAAGAAAGACATAATTTTTCTTGGTTTAGCCGACATTGGTATACGCAAAGATTAATTTTATTTAAGTATCTACAATTCAAAAGCCATGCTAAACTTAAGTTTAAAATAACAATTGAACTGTCTTATACTAAGAGTTCTCTATCAGACAATTCATTTTTGTTGAAAAATAATCCAGGTTGAGTTTTTCTCATAGGAAGATGTGGCGAAGTTTCCTCACTCAAAATATATATGACTTTTCAGAAGCAGACCAAATTTTAAAAGACTTGTGGAGGAAATTTTCAACCTTCTACCGTGTTGTTATAGAGATTTTCGTTGGTTTTTTTTTAAAGTTTTTCAGTTTTGGGAAGATTGCCCTTTTAAATGCATGAGTATCTAATAAACATTTTTATATAATTTAAGTATGATAGATAGTTTCAACTTATTGCATCTGTTACGCAACTTAAAAAATGTCATTTTAATATATTATGAATACGTCATTTTAATATGTCTTTTCTAGATTCAGATGAAAAAAATCTATATTGAGAATAAAGATGGATGAACAAATGTGTAACATAAAATGAAAAAATAAAAAACAGCTAAAGTTTTAAGGGGTGTGAGTGTGTGGGTGTGAATTTGGATGTGGATGTTGATGTGGGTGTGGGTGGGTCGGGTGCGGGTTTGTGAATGGTGGTATTCTGTTGTGTAACACCCACATCCTCTAATACTGTATTCGAGTGATTCATCACGAACGTACTACTATTACATCGATCCTGAGCGTCAGCGACGAAATAGCATGGGTTGTGTAGAGCTCGTTGTGGTAAATTTGTTGGTGAAAACTACAACTCTGTAAGTGTTGCAAAAAAATTTATTGACGTTTTACTCGCCCAGCAAAAGTATTGATATTCTCCCCTTTTCCTGTCATTTTTATCTATCCTGTGAAGCCCACACCGGATCTCATCCCGCTTATCAGTAGACGCGGGTCGTTTTAAATGAAAGCACATTGAAAATACTATACTTAGAAGAAAAGTAATTTGTCCCTAATGTAGGGCTTCTGAGATAGGAAATGTTGATTGTCTGGGTTTTGTAGAAAACGTCTCAAAGTCCGAGCTTATGCAAAATTTTTTTGTCACATGGATGAATAGAGCTTTCAATTCTGAGAAAAATGAGATATTCCGCAGATTTGTATGTCTTGCGATGACTGAAGCGCCCAACGAATTGTTTTCGTGTCTTAACACCGTTAAAAGATACGTCAACTTCAAGCCTTATTAAGAATTGAATTTTAACACTTTTCAGGGTTATTAACTGTTAAAAATAGGTAGATTTTTTAAGAGAAAAGAAATTAACAGTTAAAAATTACAAAAAATGTTAACATAAGTGTCGTTAACAATGTGTATGAAGTCTTAGATATCAATCTTTAACATGCATTACACTAGTCTCTTCATTAAAGCAATATTGATGGTTTTTGTTCGTTGGCTTTGTTCGATACTTCTCTGCTTCTGTTATTTCTCTAAACATCTCTACTCAATCCTATGTCACTATTTGCTTTTTCACTGGTCCAATCTTAGGCAAGATGTCAACAGAATCTCTGATAAACAGAAACTTTAATTAAACAGTATTCTGTTTGTTGGTAAATGCTTTTCACCAGTATTCTGATCCGTTACTCTGTACGACAGTATTTCAAGCTGCGTACTTTCGCAACAGCACTGGCAACACCATCACATTATTGTCAACACATACTGATTCAGCTTCACTTCAGATGAGTATTGACTGTGTTCTGTCTCTTTGGAAAGTTGGAAAAAACCAACTACTATCACTAAATAAACTGCGTCATTCGTCCACTGCGTAACAAATTCTTTTTGCGCAAATGAAAGCAAACACTCAAGTATGTCTTGTGCAAATACATTGTCTTTTTCGCGGAACAGAATTGAGAGAACGTATGCATAGCAAGTAATATGGCGTGGTGTGCTCAAATGATTCATGCAATGTGAAGAGCACCTAATCTTCGTCAATATGCACACAGTCAACTTATCATGTTTATTTCAGTCTAACCTCAGTGATGAATTATTGAACAATGACTGTCCGGGTATGAAAACAGAAATTAAAAAAAACAAAATAATATTCGATAGCGATCTGCAGAAAAATCGAATTGATTGGCATTGATGTCTTTTGAACACTTTTTCCTTTGATACATCACTTGACTTCCATGTTTTACAGCCCTATATCGATTTACATACGGACTTCATTGTGATAAAATAATCAATCTCAAGAATAATCTCTGTCTAGTGAATTAGATTCGCTCTAGGAATCGAATCAATTCATACATAATAGAATCTTTTGACTATTCAGAGCAAAAATGTTAAATCAGTTTGATTCTGGTTTTAGATAGTAATGAATAGTCAATGAATGTGTAGAAGAAAAAAACTGAAAGTCAACTACAGCTAACCAATGACTTGTTTCCTTTCGGGGTGTGGGTGTAGGTGCACTTTAAAAGAAGACTGATATCCACAAGCACACTCACTAACCCACACCCACACCTTTCTTCCAGGATTCTCTTGAATTTCTTACGTTCCTTTAGGCCAATAAGATAATGATACGTCAAGCTTGTCCTATGCGATGATATCATTTGGGACTGTTTTTTGCATTCGATCTCTCACTCTAATCAACATCGGCCGCAAAACAATTCAGATGTTGGTAAATTCCATCTCTCATCTTCAGATTCAGATGAATCTTCTTCATCTTTTCTTGTCATTTGTTATTTCAAACATTTGTCTTTTTATCCCAGACTAGATCAATGTTTCCTACCCAATGCAACATTTTGTTCGGACATGATCCATCTGCAGCCGAACATGGTACAGTATCTTCAAATAAATTACTGATGATTGATGAATCTTGAGAATGACTTGTCAGAACACCAATTAACCAGAAAAACTACGTAGGTTTACAAAATATTCCACAAACATTTGAGGGTACTCAGCAGTTACAAACTTTTCTTCACATTTGCCACGACTATCTCTCTTAGAGTCACACACAAATCGACAATGATTTCTCGTTTAGCTTCAGATGAATCAAGAGCATTGTCATGAAAATGAATATATATGTAAAGAGTGTGGGTGTGAATGAAGTATCTCTTTATCCATCCACAGTCACACTCACACCCTCTCTTATAGCACATCTTTGAAATGTGCCATAACAAAATGAATCTATATTGCCTTTTTTTTTATAAAATTTACCTTTAATTTAAATAAATTATTGCTCATTTAAATTATTTTACTGCTCAATTAAATATAATTCCTTTTCTTTTTCACTTACAATAAAAGAAAATGTCCGTATGTTGACTTAGTGGCACCCTTTATGTTCTCTTTTCTGATACGAATGTAGTTGAATTTTTGTTGGCCAAACATCATTCGCCGCGCAAAAGAGAAAAAGCGAATGAGCTACTGCTATTTTTAACTTTTTGATAAGTCACGACTGGGAAAAAGTTTCGTAGTCGAAGAGGGTGCCTTCGCCATCATTCATTTATTATTATGCTTTACTTCGTGAGCCACTAGTTAGCCTTTTGAGGACACGAAACCCATGCATATACGGTTTGAAAATTCTTGTAGAAACAAAATTCTTGCAGTTGATTAATGTAGATTCTTCGAGTGTCTTATTTCTCTTTCTATCTCAAAATCATCTTTTTCTACCTTGGGAGTAAGTACGAGTATGACAATTGTGGTGGGCAGTACTTTTGAAATGATATGTTATTCCCACATTTCAGCTTTTTTATAAAAAAAAGTCTGTCTTCAAAAGCTTAGGATGAAAATTTTATGTTGGAAAATTTCATTTTTGCTTCAGAAAAGTTGCACTTTTTCAAACGATGGACATTTTCGATGAACTTGGTGGAGGTGAGTCTACTTTTTCAACGAGTGTTTCAATAATTAACTTCTTCATTTTTCTCATGACAAACTGTAGAGTCTACCGGTTCACACAGTACAACTCCGTGTAATTCCCATATTGAAGATTTGGTTTTAAATGTAATAAATGAATTTCATAGCTCATATTACAACCTCAATCTTACCACCCATGGTAGATGGAAGCATTTCAAATAGGCCCTAGATAGCAGTAGTTAATTTTTTTTTTGTATCAGATACTGACCGATTGGAACCTTCAATTCTCGGAACCACGAATCAGTTCTTACCTCTGAGAAACTTCCAATCGTCGGCTGAGCCAATTGCATTGTCATTTGATTCAAATTTATATGAAGTGCTTCCAGAGTCGACCAATTTCGGTAATCTTTACAATTTTTTATTACTCGCTAACTCTAAAGTTCAATATTTAGGCCAACCTTTGCAATCACCGTTTTCATTATTGTCAGGCTATGCAACCAATACAATCGACGTTTCACTTCTGAAACCAGGTTTTTACTATGACTTATTCTGTTACCTTAGATCGACTGTAAATCATTTTTTTTTCAAGACGACAATGCTCATCAAAGTGATCGGGTCGTTTTCAATGGTGAAGAATCACTGGAGGATACTACTCAAGCACGGATCGCTAATGAAACTGAAAATGAGGTTTGTTGACTCTACTTAAGATGCAATAAACCTGTTAGCAGGCGTGGGTGTGAGTGTGTGGATTAGGGTTTGATTACGGGTGTGGGTTTGGGCGTAAGTGTGCGTCTGAGTCAACATAAGTTCCACTACCATACCAACACCAATCACATCCACGCACACTCATACCCACACCAAACTCACACACCCACAACCACGCGCCTACATCCACATTCACACTCCTACCCTTCAACTTATGTACGAATTTCATTTTAGTTACAACTTGAACAAGACCAAGTGCTTCAGTCTGAAATGGACAAAATGGATTTGATCGCCACTGACAAGTCTATTTGCGGTCGTAATCGATTAATGACTGTCAAAAGAGAACCGCCAAGATATCGGCGTCGACGTTATCCAAGTGATGGTAAGCGTCAAGTCGAACAATCTCGTATCAAACCGATGGAAGTTAATGTATGTATTCATCGTATGTTTTTCCCGTAAATCACCTCTCGTTCATTTCTTCAGTTACCGGGTATAAAAGAATGTTCGTTGAATAGCGATCAATCTTTTTATCTACAACTTACATTGATCACTTCTGATAATAATCCAAAGAAAATGCATCTTATTCATACGAGTCATCTGGAGTATCATGATGAAGATGTATATCAAAATGGTAATGCATCTGTTTGCATCCCGTTAACTCGAGGAGAAATTCTCAAAGGTGTTAAAAAGTAAGTGAATAATTTTTTCTCTCAAGTACTGGAATAGAATTAATTGAATTCTGTATTGAACACAAAGTATTTTAATGATTGAAATACTATTCGAAAATAACAGATGTGACAGAATAAATAAGCATCTCGGTTTCTTAAATAATTTGTTCAGTTTTCATGCTCTAGGCTTGCGGTTGTGGATGTGGGTGTAGGTGTAGATGTGCAGATAGATGTTATGTGTAGGTGAAAATCTTCTCTCCAATAAAATCAACGTCCACCCATGCACTCATGCTCACACCCACACCCACACTTACACATACCATTCTTTTGCTTAATTTGCAAAAGAAGACTTTGTGGTACAGGTGTTGCAGAGAATTGAATCATGTGTCTTGTGAAGAGAAATTCAAATCCAGAAATTGAACAATAAAAAAAGTATTCAAGAAATACCGAGAGACTCATTTTATCCTGCCCTATCTATTATATTCAGGTGAAATCTTGAGAGGTAGAACAGACATACCGCTGGTATCGTTTAGAAGACATCTTTGAATACCCAATGACTTTTTATTGCATACTAGATTGTCTCACCTTTCGATCATTGATATGAAACGCGATGATTACACTTATGAACTGATACCATATGGTCCATTATTTACAAATAATCTAACTGAGAAATGTATTTATCTTGAGTTCATGTTACCTATACAAGTCTTCTTTTACGTTTCTACGTTTAAGATACGCTAACCAATGAGAAAAAAATGACCAATGCGGCAAAAGCCAAGAAATTTATAGAAGATTACGATTTGACATCATGCCATATTGGTTGTCAGTTGATGATCAAACAGAATGAGACATGGCATTTGACGGATATCGAGTGTAAAACGAAGATCATCAGTGAAAGTAAGCAATACTCGAAATAACAAAGGAGGCAAAAGATAAGTTCTATTTTTAGAAAAACTCCAAAAGAAACTAAGCAACTCGGGAAAACGACAAGCCTCTCAAACTGATGATGAACACCAACCAGAGGACAATAGTCCCACTGCATCAATGTCAAGCCCGGCAAAAAGACGCAACCGATCTTCATCGCCGATAAACCAATTACCGGTAGTATTTATTACTAGTCATTTGATTAGATGACATGTTTCGTGTTTAGGTCGTATATTCAAGAATGCAGTCAATTGATCAAAAGAATCACTAGTAATCATTCAAAACGGATTTTCTTACAAGGAAGTAACCGCTCCAATGGCATACCTGGCAATTCGCTATCTTTCTAGATCAAGTTCCTTATTTGAGTTTCCCGAAGCTATTTTCATTTTCTGTAGAAGGAGTTAATGGATGTATAGAACGTAATGGTGTTATAGGAGATATTGAAATTATAGGAGGTGATGGAGATAATGGAGGTATAGAAGGCAACGGAGGTATAAGGGTATTCGAAGTATAGGAGATAATGGAACTATATGAGGCATACGTGGTAATGGAAGTATAGGAGGTAATAGAGCTAATGGAGCTCATTGGACGCAATAGACGTAATGGAGATATAGGAGTTAATGGAGGTATAAGAGGTATTGAAAGTATAGGAGGTAATGGAGTTAAATGAGGTATTGAACGTATCGGACGTAAACGAGCTAATCGAGGCATAAGAGCTAATCAAAGTGTAGGAGGTAATAAAGCTAATGGAGTTCATGAAGATGTAGGAGGTATTGGACGTATAGGAGGTAATAAAGCTAATGGAGTTCATGAAGGTGTAGGAGGTATTGGACGTATAGGAGGTAATCGAGCTCATGGAGGTAATAGACGTAATGGAGGTATAAAAGGTATTGGAAGTATAAGTGGTAATGGAACTCTTGGAGGTATAGGAGGTTATGGAACTAATGGATGTACAGGAGGTAATAAACGTAATGGAGATATAGGAGTTAATGGAGGT